AAAAACTAAATCAATTCTTATTAAATGGAATAATTATTCAACATAAACATTCAACCTGTCAGCATCTGGTTTTTGGCGACCAGCCGCATGCATACATATGACTGACTGCTAAGCAGCATTGGAAATCTTGTTTGCTCTCGGTATTACCCATTCAGAAATTTTGTAGCTTTGCCTACGTCTTACCCGTATTTCAATGCGTAAGCGCAGATTTTGAGGAATTCCGCTAAGCTTTGGTTTTTCCATTACACATTTTCCTATTTGCGTGAAAAGTGTTATAATGCGATTGTAAATGTCGTTCGTAGTCATCAATTTGCTCCCATTCTTATCGCTAATGGCATGTGGAAGCTCGTAAACGTAAAACAACTCACTCTAACAAAATTTATGCTTAAAATTTTTAAATTATAAAAAATGTTATTGCATTTTTAGTAGCAAATATTTAACAGTTTAGCGTGGTCATAGAGATAAAAATGCAAAATGTATAAAATAAAAACTCATATGCCTCAATTCACAATTTTCACATTGACCATGCGATTTACGTACAATGCGTTTGAGCATACATCGAAATACCCACACATATGTACATACATAACAAGTGAATTAAAACATGTCATTTACGCCTTCAATTTTTGTACTAAATATGTATCGAATGCTTGCTATTTTAATGCAAGGATAACTGCATTTCCGTTTTCCACTCGAGACTAAATTTCTATTTTTGCCTTAATTCGTTGTTATGATTTTCGCGACATTGGAACCTCGAGAGCTAACCGAGGTATGGAAGTGCGGTCAACCATGCAAATGTAAACAAACATGTACAAATGTGCATACACATATATACAATTGATTTTAATCGCAATAAGTAGATCAATGGCAAACTAGTAACGGACAACTCACGCGTTTTATTTTGTCACCTGATAATGTCTGAAATATTTATTTACGCGTTTGCGCATGCGTATGCGCATTCACTCAGACTGAGATTTAGTTCATTGTTGCTGTTGTTTGTGCGAAATGACAACTTTTCTATTATTACTATTTTATATTCAATTCATTGATCTAAATTTAGTAATTTGTTATAAAAGTTAATTGTTTTTAAATAATTAGAATCAGCTTTAAACGGAATTTGAACGATTTCGCGCTAAAAATGACGGTTATGAGATGCGTTGTGCTGAAAATTATAATTGTCTAGATTTATGTATGCGAATTTAATTGTCAGAGCCTGTGAAGATTTTGTTATTATTTTCATCAAAAAAATATTAACTTTTTTAGCTTACCTTTTAGCTGCCTGATTGCCCTCGACTATATTCACGAAAACATTTTGAAAATAATCGTGTGCTAAGTAAATACATATAAGCGCTTAAATATTGGTATAGTAAAAATTAATCGATTATTTTTTGCATTTAATCGAAAGCTTTATTTATTATAGTAAGATGTATCCGATTTATGTCAACCGTTTTACTCGGCGACTATTTCCCATTTTGACGGTAATGTCATTATTCCTCTCTCATAGAAGCTCTTTTTCACTATTCGCAAAAAATTGGGTCAATCGATTTTCACATGCTTCTCTGGAGGCCAAATTTTTCACCTGCTATTGTAAATCATTTGCCATAGCCAATACCGGTCGTCAATCACTTGTTGCTTGGGTCGGTCTATAAGGTGGATACAAAAGCACCTTCCAAACAAGCTTTCGGCGCTTCTGCCGAGTTCCTACCGATGTGTAAGCTATAACATTGTTCTTATGAAACATAATTTCATTTCTATTAGCCGGAGTTGGGTGCTTCCAGATCATTGCTTCATTCAAGCGTTCCAAATGCTTTCAGTACGAATGCAAACTAAGAGTTAGTCTGTACGAGAGCAGCTCACAGTGATTACCATCTGTTTCTGTATATGGCGAATCATTTGGCTGGTGGAGAACTGGCCTCAAATGAAACCTGTGAAAATCCCTTGACCCGATTTTTTTCCAATAGGGACTAGAATTTCTATGAGAGAGGCAGGTAATGCAATTGTAAAATGGCAAAAAGTAATCAAGCAAATCGGTGCATATTTCACATCAAACGGAAACGCAATGCAAAAATTATGAACTGCTTTTAACTATATCTACTATTAATTTAAACGTGAAATCGGTAACCAGATCCGAATTATTTAATTTTTTTTTTTTTGCAACGATTGTCACCAGTCAATCTTTGGGGAGAACTAGTTCGGAAGATGAGTGATGCTGTTAAAATCAGTCGAAAACCATTGTTATCTACTATAACTGTAGCGCTATGTAACCGCTGATTTCCCGCCGAGCTCATCCTCCAATTTGTGGTTTTGCGTCTTGATATATTTTTTTCAACAAATGGAAGAGCCTACAGTTTATACTAAGCCGCCTCCGAACGGCTGATGATTTTTTTATGAGGAGCCTTTGTTACATGTCAGAAATACACTCAGAGGTTTTGACAATCTATGCCGAGGATTTTGATGGCACCGGAAGTTGAACCCGAACCTTTTGAGTGTCAGTACGTAATGCTACCCACTCGTCTATCGCGGCCGCACTGCGGTCGTTTCAGAAAGCCATTACAAGGTGATTTTTCAATATGATTACGCTCACACCACGGTGTTAAAACCTGGGAGATTTTGTCAAAGGATACAAAACGATTGCAGACTTTTGAAGAAATTGAAGAATCGTATTCGAAACTTACCAGAGAGATGGGAAAAAGACGAGAAAGTTTCCAGAAATTGTTTTTATTGATACTCGAGATTAATTTCATCATGAATTCCTTCCAATGGTCAATCCGTGATAGACGGTCATATAAGAGTACTATTTAAGCGTTTTGAGGCAACAATTTACGGAAACTTTCATCATGATAGTGCACCATCGCACCGAGCTGTGTTTTTGAACGATTTTAAGGCCAAAAATTCGTTCAGTACCATCGTTCGAATACCGTGTTCACCGGATTCGGCCCTAAGCGACTTTTTGTGTTTAAAAAACTCAAGTTAACACTCCGTTTCAGTTTAAGTGGATTCAGTTTCCATTGAAACTTTAATTTGCGATGACAACCAATAGGTAACAAGGACAGTCGATGGAAGTGTGTGGCATAAATTTAGAAATGCCATGTTTTTCACACGGCCAGAGCTATACGTGTTGTGTTCACGAGTTGGAAAATTAGCGCGAAGTAAAAAAAATGTTATTTATGAAACTGCGTTACATTGAAAAAAATGTATTTAGATAAATCGTAAATAAAGGATTTTTTTATACAATATAAATTCAACATTCTTTTCTTTTCAAAACACATATTTTCTCGCAGGACATCACTTGGCTTTCCTTACTGTTCTAATTTAGCTGCATATATTGCCTAACTTAAAATTTATTTATTGATATATGTATAGCTGATATGTAGGTATTTATCAATTATGCTAGTTAGCATAGGTGATTACAACAATTTAAATTGTTCAACATATTTATTTGTACATACATATGTATGTGCATACCTCTATCAGTGCTTCTGTCACTTCACTATATACTAATTGCCATTTTTGTTTTACAATTTACCAGAATTAAACTAATTGGACCTGTCAAAACATATTAGCCACAAAGTTGCATACACATGTATGTATGTATGTATGTATGTATTTTATGTTATGCAAAAACTAAACGTGATGCATTTCATAAGTACAATATGTTGCTAAAGTTTTTTTTGTATGAATAAATATGCCGCGCAGAAATAAAAGGAAAAAATTCCGAAAAATTAAAAAAAAAACTGAAGCACAAAAAGAAACGTAAAATATACACACGGTAATTACACTGTCAGGGGCATTTTTTATTAACCAAACAGCAAGTGCAGTTACCATTGCAATGCATTATGAGAGTCATAATTTACTATTCGGAATTGTTTAATTGCATTTAGTGTCAATGCAAAGTCAAGTGTAAGTGATTTTATATACACACACATACATATATACACGTATATGTGCATTTATACACAAAATGTAATTCACCTGAGGCTCACATGGCTTAAACCTAATTGTTTGAATCAGAACACTTTTAATTGCAATATTTTTCCTCAGGCATTTTGTGGTCACCAATATTCATGTAGAGGTCACCAAATTAGTTTATCTGTAAGTATTTACAACGGAGTTGGAATTTGGTGCATTAATATATCCCAAAGGTAAAAGAGAAGTTATAAACTATTCTCTTTTTTTATACGAGGGTTGCCTTTTATATTTCTTGTTTAGAGAATAAAAACAAATATTAGTCATCGAAAATTACTTTTTTGTCGAAGCACTTTTCTCACTCCGATTGAGGGCTCTTCCGGTGCTGAAAAAACGTTGACCTCTTCGTTTGTTTTTTTACGTATGGGAATTTTCGAAGCTATTATAACAGAGCAATTAGCTTCTCCTATGTAATTAGTTATTGACATCTCACAAGATGGATTTTGTAAAAGCAAATCTACCCAATCAAACCAACTACAATTCACCACACCGTGTCAGTTATGCGATCAAAAATAGTTGTCAGATCGGTTATCTACACTGATTTCAGTAAAGCATTTGGCAATATCTGTCATTCTTTACTTCATTTTTACTTCGATCATCTTGGGTTTTTGCAAATGGATTTCAACGTACATCACGAGGAATATCAAAGCATCCGCTGTTTCTCAAGACACTCACTTCGGTCTCTCTCACTCTTTCTTATATTCATGAGTCTCTCTCAGTCTTCCTCTTATTCATCAAACCTTCCAAAAGTGGTTCTTCATTCAGATGTGGTCAAACCCTTTAAACCACTTTTTTCCATTGAAGATCGAGAATATTTGGAACTTGAAAAAAATAATTTAAAATAAATGAATTAGAAATATCAATTGCCTAGACCTACTTAGCAAGCTTAACTTTACCATCCTTTTTGAGGTTATCCAGTTACCTTAGGCCACTTTCAGTGTGTTCATGCAGAACTTTATAATACACGACCCTTTTAGATGTCTCTGCAAGGATTTTAATACTCATTCCACCAGCTCTTACTGTATCAAAACCTACTTGCTAAGAGTTTAAAATAATTAAGTAGTTTTATAGCAGCTGATGAGCATATCTATAGCTGCTTAGTGTGAGACCCAATTGTAACCGCTAACTTCCCCGATCGGTCTCGTGTTCATGGTAAACCGGCAACCGGTCTGTTGGATTTTTCGATCGTCCTAAAAACAAGCGCACCACTCTGTAGGTTAGGTCCCTGAAAATACGCTCTATCGTTTGGATTTATAATATAACGCAAGAGTTTCACAAACCTTTTAAGAACTCATAGCCAAAGCGTGGAAAAACTTTTCAAAACCAGAGGGACGAAACAATGGTGGTACCATTCTATTAAAATATCGACGATCATCCATGCACTCTACCGGTCATATGACTTAAAAGAGCGCAGTTTCTTCGCAAGGCTGCTAACCGTTTGTATTAATGCAGGCAGGAACAGTTATTCTGGCCTTTTCTTCTCTTCTCCCCGGAGTTTGGCCGACATAAGTTCTTTCAGGCAACATCTTTCAGAACAAACCTGTTTCGTTTGCGTTGTAAATTTAGTCATGGCAAAGCTTCAATTCATACATAATATTGCTGAATTTATGCTTACAGGGCTCAACTGCTTGGGTATCGGATGACAATCTTCCGCCGAACACTTTTAATTGCCGAACTCCAAAACAAGATTTAAACCCAGATAGCCAACCGGAGGTGGCAAGAAAATCACTTTCTGTGCCATTAATATTAGTGAGCAACTTTTTCGTTTTTTCTTCAGTGTTTCCCCTCTGACTGGTCAGTTTTTTTTTTGCTTTTGCGTTGCGCCACAAGCCCGTTGTATAATGCTTTCTCTATTTGGGGATAGTCGCCTGTTCGAAGAGTATTTCTCTTGTTCCATCTGCCTGGTGAGAGATTATGTTACGATTCCCATTGTTTATTCCCGACTTTGTTGGTTTAGTCACGCCATATAATTTTGCTAAAGATGTAATGGTAACTCCTTTTCCAATTTTTTCCGAAAATTCCAATAACGCAAGTATCGTACAAATTAGGAGAATATCCTCTTTCATTTTTGATTCATTATTATACTTTTTCTTGGTATAATTTATATTTTAAATGATTTTCAATTAATTTTTGGAAAATCGGCTACTGCTAGCAGAGGGCTTGATCATATGTCCGTGCCAATCTTTCTCATTCCGTGCGGCGCTTTGTTTGTGAGAAATCGAATCATTCAATAAACAGAACTTATATTTCTTTTTCTAATATTATTATATAGTATAATATTTTTTTTTTATTTATGAGCAGTAATTGTTGCCTAAATATTATACTAAACCTTTTCCAGTTGACAAAAAACTGCAGACTGTAAGCATTCAAATTGTTTTTACGAAACTTTTTTTTCTACATTTAAATTTTTCCACAAGTGTGAAAATATAAGTATAAATTAAATTAATATTAAAATTAGTATGTGTACATATATATTGGAAAACCAGATAAGTGAGTCACCAGCTGCCCTGCAAATTTGATTTATCGTTGTATTTCTACTGAAAACTCTGTAAATTTATCCGAATACATAACATGTTTATGTATATACATATGTGTATACTTACATTTATATTTAAAATGCTCGCAAATTTTTATAAAGGGTTTTCCAATAAGAACTGTTATTTTAAATAGCGCCTACTATGTCACTAGATGTCTCGTTTGAAGCCGTAATTTTTTGACATTTGACAAGTAAAAACTACGCCTGTAATAAAAGTGGAACGAAACACACTCCGACAACGAATGAAAATTATTAAAATCCACTATAAAAATTATGAAAACCTAGCAGAGACGGTTCGTAAAACTAAAATATTTTTGGACTGTTGTGAAGCACCTTGTTGGACTGCAATACTGAAATTCGTAGAAACAATAGAGCTTTTGGGACAAGTTAGGACAAGAACAACTGTGACTATTGTTGCTGTCGCCCAAATTATTGAAGAAAACCCAGGTTTATCCATTCCCCGTCGTTCCACAAATGTCATTATATCGTATTTTGCTCAAAGACTTGGGCCCTAAGGCTTTTAAAGATCAGTTATAACAATTACTCCAGCCGGCCGATCATCAACAACGTCGCGGTTTTGCTGATTGGGTTCTTGAAATGCATGAAAATGATACATCATTGACTGATGAGGCCAATGTCCACCTCCAAGGCGACATCAATAAGCGAAACTGTCGCATCTGGCGTTGGGAAAACCAAAGATTTATTGTTGAAAAGCCTCAAAGTCTTCAAGGTGTAACTGGTTGGTGAGGAATATGAGCCGACATTGGTCTTTGGACCTTACTTTTTCGAAAATAATAAATAGATTGCGCCATCGAGAGATGAATAATATTTTTTTTTTTTTTGCTTTAATTGGATGGTATTGATCTGTACAGTGTTTACTTTCAAGAACAACACGACTATGTGCCCCACAAGCAACGAAACCATCGAAAATTTAAGGGAAAAGTCTCTTTGAGTATCAAAAAAACACCCCTTATTGGAGAGCCCTGTAATTAGCAGTAACAAAAATGCGAAAAGATCACCTGTAACGAGGAGAGAAATTTTGTTAATTTTTTTTTTTTAAATTTTTATTTATTAGCTCTTCGCTTTTATCACATATGTTTGAAGTCAATAAATTAGACTGAAAAATTAAAAAAAAAAAAAGCTGTGTTTGTACTTAATTTTTTGTTTGTTTTTTTTTTTGTTTTTTCTTGGAATTTCAATATCAAGAAGCACACAAGCGAAATATATATATGAAAATAAAACAACAAAAAACAACAAAACCAAATAAAACTGAAGAGATGCGTGCTCACCTAAGCTAAGAGGAAAATAGAGGCAAATCTGTCGAATACTCCTATCATTAGCTCAACTAACTCTTTATAGCGATTATACAGTTATAAGTGTTAATATGTATATATGTTTCTGGCATGTTGAATTGTTCGTTTGTATGACAGTTGTGAATTCAAGCAAATTTCCTTTTTCTTTTTAATTTTTTATTATTTTTTTCTTCATACCAATTTTTTTTAACTTTTATAGTCCGTTTCCTTTGCCATTTTTGCATAAATTATTATTATTATTTTTTTTAATTTAGCGATTTTTTGTTTTTTTTTTTTTTGCAATTATAGGTACACATGTTGTATAAAAAAAAAGAAAAAGCAGTAAAAATAAAATTAAAAATATATTGAAACTAACAATAGTAATAGCAAAATCGAGAAATGAGAATACTCGTAGAATGAACAAATGTTCAAGGTCATTATAGTCACAAAATCAATAGCCGTGGCGACGTTATGACTGTTGCGATATTCTTGCCACCAATAATACCTATAAGTAGTATGTACAAATATACATATATACAAATGTATATATATAAATTTTATTAAATAAATGCTACTGAAGTTCAACTCGCTTGCAGCGACCAGTCAATTATACGCCAGCAAAAGGTTTTATCGCCATTTCCAGCCCCACTCACTCTGCCGCATTCGCACTAAGTAAATGCTCAGTTTATTGCATACTCGCATATAAACATAAATATTCTCTATTGTTCCGAACTCTATTTACAATAGGATTCTCTGAGATTTACTTACATATAGGCATTTTTTTCTACTAGCTTTTTATTTGTGGACTAATGATCGTCATTTACCGTCATTTACCATCAATTACCTCTGTCCCCTGTTCTCGCTGAGTGTGAGCAAATACATATCATAATCCCCTAAAATTTTCCAACACAATCACTATTCACACTTTGCATAATCGTTGTTAAAGTGGAAACCACAAACCGAGTATTTTTCCTGTCCTTGCTCTTGAACTTTCTGGTTGAGTTGTTGCATGTCTGGTGACACGTTTTACCTTATAAAATATAATTTTAATTGTTAATTTATTACAAATACTAAGTCATGATGCAATAGTGGTTTCATGCTAAGACGTATTTGGATGTGACTTTGCTCGATCGATTTGATTTGTACACTTCCTGAAAGGTGTCACAGAGCGTCGTGGAGAGAAATCTACATGGGGCACATTTATCTATCTCATATGCTATGCAATAATATCCGGCGTAGAACGTACAAAATAGCAAATATTCAATACCACTAATTCAGCATTTAAGAATGAGCAATTATTAAATCCTATAGATATTTGCCAAATACGCTTAGTACCGCAAAATTGTATACTACAAATCTTCGAAGGTCATTCACGCTTCCGCAACATCCGTTCTTTTGCAATTCCTGCTCTCACTTACATAAGATAAATAAATATTTGCCCACTTCAATTGGGAATGTAGCTATTTTTTGATCCGCAATCAGTATGTGTGACCCCTGCAATTAATCACCGCAAAACTCGCTTGAAATCAATCGCACCATTTGAATGCCTTTCAAAAAAGACATTTGTACAAAGCGTTCAATGTTTGCTCACTTCGCTTTTGTTCTTAACACGTTCGAATGCTTAGGAGCCAATTCGAATTTACGCGGTATTTCGTCATGAGGCTGTGGTTAATTAGCGCTTTCCATATGGTGGAAAAAATATATTTATTTATAATCTTACAATGTAAAAAACTGAAAAAATATGCTTACAATATACAGGAATATAGATTTTGTGGCTTTGGCAATAAACTTTAATAAAAGACAATGTAACAACTTTTTTATTACAAAGTATGAATCTTGGCATTATATGTGTAATACTAAGGTTGACCGTAGGCTTCAGTCTTTCACACAATACGCTTGATAGGACCTTATATGCGATGTTAAGAAGGCTCATTCCACGGTAATTGGTGCTGGCTGTGGTATAGCCTTTTTTGTAGATTGAGCAGAGCACACTTAGGTTCCAATCGTCGGGCATGCTTTCATCCGACCATATTTTGCAAAGAACCGTCGTATTTGAATAGCTCGACCTGTAATCCATTGATCTCCGCCGCTTTGTTGTTCTTTCGGCGGGCGATTGCTATTCAGACTTCTTCATAGTCAGATAACGGAACAACCTTTCCATCGTCTTCAATTGGAATTTCGGACTCACCATCTCTGGTTGTTTCATTTTTACTGCCATTCAGCAGGCTGGAGAAGTGTTCCCTAATTAAACTCAGTATATTGAATCACCTCCCTGGGTCCTACAAGAGTTCGCTCCGGTCTTGAAACCTTCCGTAAGTCACCGTATCTTTTCGTAGAATTTTCGAGCAAGGGTAATGCTTCGATCCAACTGAGCTAATTTTCATCCATCTTTTCTTCACATATTGGGCGTTATCTCAGCCATGACTTGACGTATGTTGAGTTTGACGTACTAAAGAGTTAAAGGATTATCTGCATAAGAACGATATATCCCACGGAAAAAAGGTCCAACGGTGTCAAACCGCACGATCTTGATTGCCAATTGACATCACAAGGACAAGCGATTACGCGACAGGGAAATTTTTCTCCCAATATTTGCTCATGTTGTGTGACATGTGGCACCCTCTTGTAAAAGCCTCATATATACCAAGACGGGTTATTTAATTGCAGGCCGGAAAAGGTCGGTTGTCATACAATCATAACACTTCAAATTGACAGTGAAAGTCTCGCCGTTGTCGCTTTTTTGTTTTACGCGCTTTTGGAAAATAATTTTGGATTACTTCGTCATCTTCAAATTCATTTTAAAATTATTCAAAAGCTTGTTATCGATTTACGCCCATCCAAACTTTGTTTTGCACTTGACAACTCTTTCAGGTACTAGCACCTTTTGGGCACAGGTATTTCGATGCCATAGAAACGGGAAGAAGAGTTGATTGCAAACCTATGTAATTGAAATGAGTAAGACCAAGCGGCTTTTAAGGGTTACGACTTTCATTTTGAAGACATAAACTAATTTATCATCATTCCGCAAATTTTCATTAAAGCAGTATTTAACTTAATTTTGTATAGACGCTAAAATCTTGCTATAAAAATCTAATGAGACAAATCTTTAATGTTTCTAATATCACAAACAGAACGCGACGTGCACGTGATACTGAGAAAGAGAATCCCGAGAATTCAGTAATATGTCTAATTAAATGTAAAAAGAAATATTAAAAGGTACATCATTAACGGAACATGTACTCATACTAATCTAATTATGATAGAAAAATTCTTAAGAACGAGAATTAGCAACCAACTACTGGACATTCCATCATTTCAATGCTTTAGCTTCATAGATTGACCGTAATTAATTTATAAAAAACTAAAAAATCAATGATAATAATAATTTTGCAATTACTCTTATTTACACCATATTAATTGTTTACTAGTACGAAAAAAAACTTACGTATAAACAAATCAAAATATGTATTCATTGAGAAGCCACATGATTCCCACGTTTTTCCATTCAACACGTGAGAATAATGTGAAACTTAGAAATGAGTGTACTTAAGTAATTGTACTTGCATACTTGCATTGAAATCTAGTTTTTATTACATTCATGGAGAATTTTTTAATGAAAATACCGATGTACGTACATACATTATTCCCCTTTCTTCATACAAAGTGTAAGACATTGCGAGGAATTAATAAGGGCAATAATTGAATTGTACAGTAATTATAGCAAACTCAATAAATAATGCTAATGAATGAATTCTCAGTAAGTTTATTCAATTCTTAAAATTTCTTCCTTTTTTTTTGCTTTTATTTATGATGAAATTGAGCTGAAAACTATTGTTTTTTTCATGTAACTGTATTACATGTGGGGGTTTCTTCCAGCTGAAAACAAATTTTGCTCTACAAATAATTATATAGAATTCATGAATAATACTTCAAACCATGATACCATAATTTAAAGGTAGTTTCATTTTCTCTTAGCCGACGACTTCACAGCCAACCGATATTAAATGTGCCTCGTCTTGTTCGAGCTAACCTCTTCTCTTAAAAAATCTTCATTTTTAATTTAAAAAATATGAGGAATTATTATCTCATTCTTATATGATTTACCGTTAAGACTAACAAAAAATCAAGTATTATATTTTTCGAGCCCTCATAGTGGATTTCAACAAGTAAATATATGCCGTTCATACTTTAGTAAATTGTAAGAAAGTACCAAATGAAATGGGATTGATCGACAAAAATTCCTAGAGATGAGGAGCTGAATGGTTTTCAACTGTTGATCTGATGGTTAGCTACTCAATCAGTTTTAGATATTGCTACAAAATTCCAAGAGTAGGCCTAATTTAATGTAATAACTTGTTTGTTTTTGGACATAATAAAAATTAATTACAAAAATTTCCAATTTTTTTTTATATCTAACGGATATCGGGATGGCATCAACGAAGTTTTGAAAAAAAATGTTTTGAAAGAATAGATGTCAACACTCTTTAGTTTATTTATAATAAAAGGTTAATAGTAATTTCTTTTCTTACTTCTGCGGCCTAAGAGAAACTGGTGGAAACCAATTCAAATTCCAATTAGATATACGAGTATATGTAGATATGAGTACGTCTATAAGTCCAGCAGACTCACTTCACTTTTTGCGCAGTCTTATGTCGGTATTGTTTTTTTTTTACGTAGTAGAAAAAGAAAAATTTTGGAGCCATTACTACAGTGCAAACCACCAATCATAGAGACCAGAAATTAGAGGCAGCAAGAATTTTTTGGGAAATGGACCCGAGCGCAATCTATTCATTGAAATTCTATTTTTCATTACTTCATACATGGAAAATCAATAACTTTTACCTGAGTTAGTATATGGATAATTTGCTACTTTCCTGGAAATTTACCAGGGATGATATCTAGTAATAAATTTGTTTGAAATTTGGTTTAAGAAATAGTTTCATTTTGTAAATATTCAAACTCTATTACATGATAACTGATATATTTTAAGTATCTATATAATATAAATAAAGAAGGATAAAAACGATTTAAAAATCTTATTTAAGTTTTAAGCGGACAAAGTAAAATTTAATATTATCCCTTCTTAAAGTATTTATTATTGATTAAATAAATCGGTAAAATAAAGAAGTCAAACAAAAAACAAGCACCGTGTTTACATGACAAAATTATAGGAATACTCTAACTTACATAACCTCGTCAAGTTGTAAATCATAATTTCCGTAAATTAAGCAATTACATGTTGGAAAATCACAAAATCTAGCAGGTGCACAAATACATATTTGACCAGGTATAACATATGATTTATGAATTCATTGCTTGTTCCTGAAAATGATGTCAAAAGAGCATTTCTAAAAGAACTAAAGGCAATCTCAAAGATCAAGTTAATGAAGTAGAAGTTTTGGGGTTTGAAAGAAGCGCTAATAACCCCTAATGAAGACAATACAAATGTCAACAAAATTAAAAAATAATAATTGTTATTTTGATTGTTTTCTATGAAAGCAAAGTAACGAACATCTCCAAGTTCCATGAAAATTGACGGTAACTTACTTTAAAATTCAGCTGACGAGGCGTTGACAAAATTAATGAATGAACTCTTGATTAGTTTGTTTAAAGTAAAAGTATTAAGTCCTCAAGAATTTTCAGAGAAGTTCTTCTCTTGAAAAACTTTTTTTTTTTTTTTTGATAGAAAAATTGTATGACGTCTTATTTTAATTAAAACTCAAAGGACAATGATATCTTTGCAGATTTCCTTAAAGAAATACTAAGGCAACTCTACATACGGTAGTACTAAGATGTAATTTCAATCTCTCCTCGGCATGGAATGTAAAGCCCTCGCAGTGTATTTTTGACATGAATATCAAGGCTATTCGTGATAATCCGGCTCAAAATAAACTGTAGGCTTATTATCAAAACGTTCACCACCAGTCGGGCGAATACTAACAAAAATTTAATGAAATTGAAAATTTTTTACGAATTAGCATCGTGGTTTCCTAGTATGGAAGCCAAGAAATAATACCGCAAAAAAAACTCTCTTTGAAGCGATATTTTGCATTAATTTTGCTCAAAAATCTACCAGCGAATATATTTTTACACCCAAGAGACAATATTCACAAAGTATCAGTATCGAACCAGAACCAGTTTGAATGACAAAAAAAAATTACAACAAAAATTAAAATTTAGCAGATAAGTAAATAATTAATTAAAAACCAAAGTTTTATCGAAACACCTATTAAATTTGCATAAATAATTAATTAAAATAAACAAAGTTATGTGTCTCTTAAAATATTTATTAGTAATTTCTCAGGTATCACGTGTGTTATACATTTTTTTTTTTTATTAACAAACGTTCGTGCTGCGAAACTCACGTGCAGCTCTTGCTGAGATTAAGGGGATTTTCGATGATTTCTCAAAGAAATATTTATGTATACGTCAGTATACGACTACATGTGACGCAGCATGTGACAGAAATTTTTGGATTCTGGATTTTCGTTTTTTGGATTTTCTTTTTTTTATTGTCGAAAACAAATTTGTTGCTGTCTTTATGGAGATACATTCTGTATGTTAATAATGTAATAAATGAATCATATTATTTGCTATACACGTTGGTATTTCCAAACCAAAAATACTCATTAATGTTAAATAAATACAAAATCGATGGTTATTTAATTATTCAAAATCAATTTTTTTAGCGTAAGAAAAAAAGATTTGAAGCCGTTATTTTAATTAGAATTTTTTCGAAAAATATTATTTTTCTACGGGTGATGAGAAAGTTTGTAGTTTTTACAAAGTTTCCATCAACTTTG